AACACTTCAACACTGTTCTGAGCCGACCCGCCCAAACAATTCTCAAGCACCCAGCTAAACTCCAGACAATTCACTACTCACGCCATCTAAGCTTGCAAGACACGTCCATCCTATCCAACACAATCCAAACTACTATCAACGAGAGATTAAGGGTGATCAGTTCCTCAATTTGTCAATAGACAGCCGAAATCATGATGGGGTATAAACCATCTTTACCAAACTGTATGGGCATTCAACCACACTGAGCTACAACTCCACACTTTGCAGCAACCTGAAGAAGCACAAGTTCTCCCCCACTTGGGTCATTCCCACTTCTGCAGACGAAGACTAGACAACAAACACGTACCAACAGTGTTTCACACACATGTCGCATACAAGGGAACAACCAACATTAGACAACTTGGTCGGATGGACCGACCTGCTCTGATACCACTAATGTAACACCCTTCTAATTTCCACGGAAAAATACATATTTAATCAGAGTAAATTAACATGCTTTCACAAAGGGCGTCACACATAATTACAAAATCTTAACATTCACCTATCATACTCATGTAACATTGAAATAAATAGTCATTCTATTAAATTCTCATCTTGCATGAAGCAGCGGATTCAATTTGGTTTACATAACTCTTCACAGAAAATTCATGTTCATCACATAATCATCAACACTTAGGCATAGAGGCCATTATCACATATTTCAAATACATTTAAAACACAACTTAGAATATACAATATATCTCTAAGGCATAAACCCCGTGATCCCAGTGTTACATAACCAGAGCATGACTTGACCCAACATTATTAAATACTAATAGTTGCACCAACAGCGACCTCGCAACTACTACCAGTACTACTCCTTGGTACCTGCACGATGTCATGTAGGACATCATTCCAGCAGAAGGGTGAGAAACATTACCATAATAATCAATGCACATAATCATATATCAATGCACAAGTACAGAATATATATATTTCACAGTTTCTCACTACAATGCCTCACAATCCACTATCATACATCATAATGTATATATGTATAAAACCAAGCATTTTATCATGCATACATTCACATCATTTTCACATAAACATACACATACATGTTTATTTCACCAATGCATCATATAAAGATGAATCATGCAACTCATAGAGACCGACTCACGACTCTATGCAGAAGCTAATGCGGTACTGACTCAATTCAGCAGGTTCAATTGAAGAACCAAAAATAACCATCGCTCACACCCCACAAGGGCACACGAGGTTTTGCAGATTCTCCGAGGAATCAATATAACCATCACAACAAATGAGGTTCTGCAAATCCTCCGAGGGATCAATAAATAACCATCGCTCACACCCCACAAGGGCACACGAGGTTCTGCAGATTCTCCGAGGAATCAATAAATAACCATCGCTCACACCCCACAAGGGCACACGAGGTTCTGCAGATTCTCCGAGGAATCAATAAATAACCATCGCTCACACCCCACAAGGGCACACGAGGTTCTGCAGATTCTCCGAGGAATCAGACACACAAGAATGCATACCATGATGCTTCACATGCAACATGACTCATGACACTCTTGAAATGCACACATGTTTACAAACATACTCATGCATTCATTACATATCACATACAATAATCATACCTTCACAGTGTATATAACATTCATCATTCGTCACGCATCAACACGTACGTTCAATATACACTCGCAAATATATTTACCCTATATTCGTCATTCATCTCATATTGTTTCATACTAGATTCACATTCATAACTCACAATTATCGTGCCAAGCGGCAACAAACTCAATCCCACCCAATAATGCATTTTTAATTAATTTAAACAGCGCATCACATATGCCAAAAGGCCACATATTCACAATCAATTCATAATCTAGGATTCACATTCATAACTCACAATTATCGTGCCAAACGGCAACAAACTCAATCCCACCCAATAATGCATTTTTAATTAATTTAAACAACGCATCACATATGCCAAAAGGCCACATATTCACAATCAATTCATAATCTAGGATTCACGCCATACGGCTACCCACAGTACAACATACACAAGCTATTCGCTACATGCTAAAACCAAAGACATCAAATTGGATGGAAACAATCAAAATAAAACAAATGTTGTCCCATTCGCCAACCTTCGCCTGGCGAAGCCATTGGCGAACCTTCGCTGCAACGTTCGCCTGGCGAACTTGCCAGCGAAGACCACTGGGAGCTATTCTGGAATTACTCGCTAGCACACTCGCCTGGCGAACCTTCGCCACTCTCATTCGCCTGGAGAACTTACCAGCGAAGACATGGTGTTTGGTACTGACTTGATTCGCTACCGTTCGCTGGGCTTCGCCTGGCGAAGCCTCGCTGCCATTCGCCTGGCGAACCTGCGAGATCAGAACTTCCATGGCTGTCCAAAAGGCCAAACCTCACAAAACCAACCGATTTAATCCAAATCAGCCCCAGTAGCACAACCCACTCATCACTCGACTATACTACACCGTTTATTCCAAATTCTAACCGATAAAACTTAGTTTCTACCGATTAAACTCATTTCGACCTAAAATGGAAAATATCCAAAAACACCCAAACAATCCAACACACATACACAATAATTAAGATAATAAGATTTCACACCCTTACCTCGATTAATCGGAAGCTAGAGAATGTTCTTGATGATTCTCCAAGTTTCCTCTTTTTCTCCTCCTTTTCTCTTCTTTCTCTTTCTTTTCTCTTCCTCCTTTCTTTTCTTTTCCACTTCCTCATATATATATATCTTTCCCTTTATTTCTATCCAATATATTCTCTCTCTCAAACATCTATAAATTCATTTAAACAATCATCTAATTATTCAAATAATTAGAATAATCCAAATAAATCAATTAATTAACACAAATAATTAATTATTGAAAATTGGGCTGTTACATGCGAGCTGGTAGCGAACGGTCCCAGACTTGGACATAATGCATTTTGTGGTGTTCGCTGGTAGTTAAGGGGGTAGCGAAGGTTCGCTAGGCCTTCGTTGAGTGAGCGAGGTAGTGAACGAAGTCAGTAGCTTCTGTTTGCCTTCACGAGCTTGTTCGCCGGACGAACAAGTAGCGAATACTCGCTAGGAGCTCGCTAAGAGAGCAGAGTAGCAAACGTGACAGGATGTGTTTTTCTTTAATGTTTCCATCCGAGGTCGGATTTCCGACTTAACTTTGATTATTTCCATGCTCGAGGCGTCGATTACGCCGGAGATATATTATACTGTGGGTAGCCTTACGGCGTGAATCCTAGATTGTGAATTGATCGGAATTGTGATTCGTGGAGAAACGTAATACATTGTTATAATTGATTTAAAAATGTATGAAGAATGTCTGAGAACATATTGTGCATATGTGTGCATTGTTGTTAATATATTGATGATATGTATGAATATGTTGTGTGTGCAATCGTTGTGATAATTCTTGAAAAGATGAATTATTTGAATGCATGAGATTAAGATGTCGGTCTTAAGTGCATTGAATTGTTGATTGCATATGCATCATTTAGTCAAGAGGCAATGCTTGCTAGTTTCGTGGAAACTAGTGACTTGTCCCAAGCCTAGAAGAGTGGGCTTGAAAGCTTAGAGGACGGGCTTTTGGTGGTTATCAGTCTAGAAGAGTGGACCCAATTTAATGTAAACCGAAAAAAGATAACAAGTGTTGGTACCACATGGCATAAGTTTGCATTGAGTCGTATTGAGTCACATAACATGAATGTCATCATTATATGAAATATGATTTCGTGTGGACTATGTATATGAGTTAGAATGGATTGTGGTGAGAAATGTAATGTATGTATATTTTATGTTATGTATGTATATATAATTATATGCATTGATTATTATGATAATATTTCTCACCCTTCTGCTGTTTTATAATGCTCTATGAGACATTGCAGATTAGGATTGCTGGAGGTTTTCTTTTGGTGAAGTATAGCTTCATTCTTTTGAGTCGGTTGCTCTGATATGTAACATCGGGTAGCTAGGCTTGTAGAGTATTCTTTTGTGATACATTGTATATGTATCAGCTGATGATGTTTGTAAAATATGAATGATACTATGAACAACTTGATGATGCGTACTTCTATTATATCATGTCTTAAGTAATTCAATGTTCTAGTCTTCCGCTTTAATCAAAACATTGATATGTGGACTCTAAGAGTTATGCTTTACTTTTAGTTGAGATTTACTCCTTTTGTTTTATCTCTTTATGAACATTATTATTTATGTCGTCGTTTCGTGAATAATGTGATGCGCCTCTTTTATACCATGTTATAAACATACTCTGATGAATTTTGTATATGTGATTAAGTGTTTAATTGCATTATTTTGGGGGTATAGAAGGGGGTGTTACACACCCGGCCCTGCCCCCGAATAATACATTTTAGTTTAATTCTCTTATTTTATTTATTTTAATATTTTTTTATTAATTATATTTTTAATTAAATTATTAATATCTTTATTGCAATTAAAATAATTAAATTAATCAAATTAATATTCATTTATTAATTAAAATTTTAATTAAATAAATAAATAATTAATTAAAATAATTAATTTTTTAATTAAATTATTAATTTTTATTATAATTAAAATGAAATTAATTTTTTTCGGGTGGGGGCGGAGCGGGTGCGAGTGCACCCGTTCTCTACTATGGGCGGGTCTGGGCGTAAATTTTTATCCCGATTGAGTTTGGGAACGGGGACAAGTGTGTTATATAGAGGCGGGTGCGGGTGCGGGTATAATAAAATCCGCTTCTGATCCACCCCGTTGTCATCCCTAAATTTGAATTTGAATGAAAGGGTAAAATAGGAAGAGGATGCAATAGAATTTTGATACGTTGATAGTGGATAAATAAAATAAGTGACAAATAATTAGGATACGAGGAAACCGCACTGTCTTGTCATCCGTCAACACCCTTTGCAGCCACTCTAGCCGCCCCGGCAAAACTGCAACTCACCGACACCGGATGTTCAGTCGCATCAGAGCTCCACTACACACCGCCATTCCTCGATTCTTTTCCACACCAATCCACTATTATCTTGAATCATTATTGATGGAGCGTGTAACTGAGCATTCAACAGAGTCTTGTTCAAAGAAATCAAAGGGTTTGAACATTGGAGAATACCAAATTGAGGGTTTATCCATTGGAGGCCATGAAACTTGTATCATTGTTCCCAAGTTTAATGTAGCTTTCGATATTGGTCGTTGCCCACCACGTGCTGTTTCTCAAGACTTTCTTTTAATCTCTCATGCTCACATGGATCACATTGTTAGTTACTTAGTTAGTTACTCTCTTTATTTCATTGCTAATGCTAACATTTTGTTAATTTTTCGCTATTTTCATTCACATTTGTTCTATATGTAACATGTAGGGTTTTGTTTGATGAATTTTATGATGTATCTTATCCTTTTGATAGGGAGGTTTACCAATGTATGTTGCGACACGAGGTTTATACCGAATGAAGCCGCCGACGATTATTGTACCAATTTCAGTAAAAGAAGATGTAGAGAAACTCTTTGAGATTCACAGGAAAATGGATCAATCTGAGCTTAAGCACAACCTCGTAGGCTTGGATGTAGGTAACTATAGCTCTCGATGAAAATGCAGCCTCCAACTATTCAGCATTGAAACTTCGGAGTTTTTTCAGTCGTGTATGGTTGTTTCTAATTCATGGCTTACTTCAGGAGAAGAATTTTCTCTGAGAAACGATCTTAAAGTTAAAGCTTTTCGGACTTATCATGTAATACCCAGCCAGGTAACTATTCAATTTTTCTAAAGATTAGGGCTGTATTTGATTTGAATTGAATTGATTGTGGTGGTTTTTGAAAATGAATCTAATAAGTTAGAGTTTCTTAAATTCTTTCGGCCTTACTATTTCTTCTATTTTTTGCACTGTTGTCAAACTGCGGCATTATAGTGATATGATATGGCATAACGGAATTTGAACAACCGCTATTGTTCCATGATACGCTATTTAGGACAAATTGTTGCCAAATAGAAGCATTATAGCATTATAGCATGACTTAATTTGAACAACCACACTGTTTCTTTTAAGGCCACATGAACTTTCAAGAGACACCCTTGTAGGGTTATCGAATATCAGTCATGGCGGCACTATGGTGGATATAAGTGGCAGGTTTTGGGCTTGCCTCAATAATAAATATCAGCTGATATTGCGAGTTTTTCCACCATTATCCGCTATGATGGTGCCACAATGCGTCCTGTATACCAGGATTTTGGCTCCCACCATCTGCCATAGACAACACTGCACCTTAGGGAATGACTTTTAAGCTTTTATGGATGTAAAAGATATAAAGAACTGGACCTTTATTTTCTGTTAAACTCGCACACTTATCCTAAAATTTATAACCGTATGTTTATACTAAACCTTTAGTATTGGAATTTTGGATATCAAAAGCAGATTTAATCTGATATTCAACAAACACCCTTTTAATATGCCATATGCTGCATCTTTTATCTCTTTTTCTCAGACAAATTTCAATTAAATCTAACAACATAGTAACTGTTATGCATTTTTTGGCAGGGTTATATACTTTACTCTGTAAGAAATAAACTTAAGCCAGAGTATATTGGTCTTTCTGGAAATGAAATTAAGAATTTGAAGTCATCTGGTGTCGAGGTCAGTCTTAAGTACTGTACGTATTAGTCAATGATTTGACAAATTTATATCTAGCCATCTTAATTTTTTTTGTATTTTAGACCAGTTTTAAAACTCTTTAGTTGGTAGTTACAAGTTCTAGTAGTCCATCTTCTATATCTTTTAGTTTTGCTACGCATGCTCAACGAAACTGGGTTTTTGGCAGATAACAAACACTTTGGCAGAACCAGAGATTGCTTTCACAGGAGACACCACGTCAGATTTCATAAGTGACGAAAATAACACTGATGTCTTGCGGGCAAAAGTTCTTGTATTGGAGGTAATTTAAATTTAAGCCTTCAAATTTAAGTTCTTGTATTGTGGACGAAAGTTCTTCCGGTCCATATAGCCTTCAAATTTAAATTTCATATTCAAATGTAATTTTGAATTGATTTGTTCGATAGTTGTTTCTCGTTCTTGGTGATTCACATGTTAATCTTATTGTGTGAGCTCCCATTTAGCTTTCCTGAATGTCATTGTAATCGTTTATGGTTTCACAGTTTACCTTCGATCTTATTTTTCTCCGTTATTCATATAGTGCACCTTTCTTAACAATTCAATAACCGTGGAACATGCCAGGGATTATGGACACACTCATTTATCTGAGGTACGCTACCTTCTGCAATTAATAGCATACAATTTCATGCAAATCTCAGTGCTTTTATTTTACCATTGTGTTTATGTTTATTTGCTTATTCCGTCTCATCGTCTTCTTCAGATAATAAACCATGCTGATAGATTACAGAACAAAGCAGTCCTTTTGATTCACTTTTCAGCGCGTTATACAGTAGAGGTATGACATTATTGTTTTCGCCTCTTGAAAATGATAAACTTGGTCTTATCAAGTGCTTGGGTGCACTGCAGTCATAAAGATCGGAGTCGTTTGCTGAAAATCTAATGACTCGTGTGGATTTCTGTAAAATGGATTTAAAACGAACTCTCAGAATGTGAACTGTTTGATTTTCATCCAACGACTCCAATCTTGTGACTCTGAATCGAAATCCTTTCCATATTTCAACCAAATAGAAAACTAATCATTTGTTGTTGCTTTTTGCTCAATATTAGTTTTCGCCATTTACGATTTTTGGTTGGGGTGCTGATGAACTGTTTTGCTTGTCATAATCAGGAAATTCAACAAGCTGTAAGTGCATTGCCACCGTCGTTAGCTGGTCGAACTTTTGCGTTTACTGAAGGTTTTTAACAAGAAGTTGGCAGTTTGATTGAACACATAAATGAATGGAGTTGGTTTTTCTCCTCCATCATCATTGTTGGCAAATATGGAAACAGTGGAAAGAAAGGATGAATATAATGATGAACTCTTCAATTACACCTAGTTTTTTTAATTTATCAGGCTATTTGTTGTAATTTTTATCTAGTAACTAAACTTTTGATTCAATTAATGAAAAAGAAAAATGATGATTGAATAATCCACTTGTACATATTATAGCTTATCTTGTTCTTGCGTGGAATGCTTTTTTCTGCTAGCCATCAGTGAATAGTGTTCTGACCATAACCTACATTAAACAAGTAACAGTACTAGTATAAGGAATCTTTGAGTCATCTGTCTTTGGACACATACAATGAGAGCTTAAAGTGATTTGCGAATGGATTATACAATTTGTGAATTACTCATGTTAACCTAGTCTAACACATTTTTAACATAGAGCCATAATTTTTTAGCACTTCTATTCCTATGAATCATCATTTCAAGAATTTTCTTAGTGGCACCTAAGTCTTTCGTGTCATACTTTTTCTTCAATATGATTTTATGTTCAATCAACATATTATTAACATATAATAAAAAAACTATTGTCAAGACCTTTAACATAAACACAACAGTCATACTAACATCTTTTATAGTCAATCTGAAGCAAGTATGAATCTAAACACTTGTAAAATTGTCTTGGAGACTGCTTTAAACCATACAAAGACTTCTTTAAATTACAAACTAGTTTGTCATATTTACTCCATGTAAATTTACTCATCTAAATTATTGTAAAGAAATGATGTCTTTACATCCATCTACTCTAAATGCATGTCCTACCTAGCTACTAAGGCTAATACTACCTTGATAGAAGTAATGTCTGGCGAACAGAGAGAAACTCTCACCATAGTCAATCCCCTTCTACTGTGAGTACTCATTTACTACAAGAAGAGTCTTGAACTTTTTCTATTTTTTTTCTATTACTGTTGGTTTTCTCTTGCATATCAACTTACAGCCGATGACCTTTTTTTCCTTAAAAGTTGAACAAGCTCTCATGTCTAATTTTTCTTCAAGGACTTCATCTCCTCCACCATTCCACTCATCCATTTATCTTTCTCTTGACTAGATATAGCCTCTCGAAAGGTGGAAGGGTCTCCAGAACTAGCAAGAAGGGCATAGGCTGCCAAGTCTTCATACTCATGTTTTTCTGGTGGTTTGGTCGAACGACGCTCTCACTCATGTACAAGAATATAATCATGTACTCTACCTGAAATTGCAGGTTTGTGGTCAATTTTAGTAACAGAGTCTAGTTCTTCTTGTGGTTCAGACACTACTAACATATTGTTCATTGGTAGCGCATTAACATTCACATTAATCACATGTTTGTTGGAAGTTTCTCTTTCAGATGTCGACGCACATCTGTTGCAACTGAGTGCTTCAATATATAAAAAACAGGCTTAGTAATATCTTTTTTGGTCTCATGTGTTAACCTCGGGTTTTATTTTAATCGTTTAACTTAAAAAGGTCTATATTAACCCCTTAACTATTCAAAATGTAACATCTTAGTCCTTTTCGTCTAATTAGTGTCGGAAAAAATTAAAAATTTATCGCTAATTAAATGAAAAGGACTAAAATAGTACATTTTAAAGAGTTAATGGACTAATATGGATCTTTTTTAAGTTAAGGAATCAAAATGAACTTCGGGTTAATATACTGGACCAAAAAGAGTATTAAACCTAAAAAGTAACATCCATTGATTATCATTTTCTTTTTAATCGGATCATGTAACTTGAATCCCTTCACACCTTTTGCATGATCGAAGAAGACACATTTCTTTGACTTTAGATCAAGTTTACTGGATATATGCACATAAGTTAAACACATAAAAAGTCTTAAATTTTCAAAATCAATAGGATTATTTGTCCATACTGTAACACCCCATTTTCAATTTAGTCATTCAATCGATTTATCCATGAGTTAATTGTAAATTGATGTATTTTATTTGATTATAATATGTGGGGTGCAGAGGTTAGTTAGAATAAGTTAGAATCATTTATGATTATCTTGGTAATTAAATAATAGGAGTTTATTTAATTAAAGTGAGTAAATAATATTGGAAAAATAAAGTAATAAGAAAAAGGGGCGTGTGTAGATATTTTGAGGGTAAGGTGCTAATTACTAGGTTAAGTTGAGGGTAGTATAGAGAAAGCCTAATGGAAAGAATAGGTTTACTAGAAAAATAGAAAATTGGGAGAAAGAATGAGGTTTTGTATCATTCATAGAAATTTGGAAAGAAAAAAAAAGGCTAGGGGCAAGGGAAACGAGGAGACCTAAGGGAGAAAACTCAAAGATCATTCACCTTTTGCTGGAAACTTCAGATAAGGGGGAGATTACTTCTTTAATAGATGTTTAAGCATGATGGGTAGAAGGAGGAGTCCATGAACTCCAATAGAATTGGGTGTTCTAATGTTTGATTATGAATTTGTTGTTATGCTTGTTGTTGTATGACGAATTTGTGTGAATTTTGTTGTTATCATATGTGCATAAATTCTGTTTTGATGAGTTAGCATATGTTCACCCTTGTTGAGAGTTTTGAAGGATTGTGGAATTGATAAAGTTATAAAATATATTATTTAATTGATGCCACCATGTGATAAATCTTAAATTTGATGTTTTAATCATAGGATAAGTGTTGAATTTCATATTTTGAGGTCGGGGCTTTTTACATAATCAAAATCGGAGCTCCAACAGTGAGAAATGCATTTTTTTCTGGTTTTTAGGTTCATGGCGGTCACCATGGGGTTGTGGCGGACTCCATGGCATGGTGGTGACGGATGTCACCAAGGTCGTTGCGACCAGATAGATTTGGGTTCCAACACGATTTCGGCCATAACTTTTGATCTGTAAGAGTCCAAATCGAGCGTCGTTTGAAGCTTAGAAAGCTAACACTTAAAGCTACAACATGATAATGATAGGTGAATTGTTTGAGTATTATTCCTATGCATTTTGTGTGGGTGAAGTTTTTGTTCATATGTTCAATTAATGAATTATTGACATATCTCGACGATTTTGGCCATAACTTTCATTCTGTAAGTTTGATTTAAATGCCTTTCAAAGTGTTAGAGAGTTAGCATTTTGAACTACACAGTAGTAGAGAGAGTTAAGATGATTAATATAGGATTATGTATGTACTGTTGTTGTGATTTTCATGATAATGTGATGAACCATTTAGCGAAATGTTGAATTTCTGTTGTTGATGAATTGATTTGGTAAATTGCTAATATAATTGTAGGTTGTTTAATTGTTTTATTTTTATTACATGTGTGTTGTGATGCATGGTTTCAATGTGAAACTATCCTGTTGATGTCGTATAAGAAATTATGCGGTTGATGTGATACTATTTGTGTTGTTGAGTTGTTGTGATGATGAATACATTTATTTGTACATCATGAGTTGTTGTTGTTGTGAAAGAGGAGATTACAAGTTTCGACGTTGGTGACCGGTAATTGTCTCAAGATTGATGTTGAGGCTTGGAGCTCGGTGTGGGGCTCATGGGTTCGCAGTTGATTGGAACCCAGTTCATAATTGGAAATATTATTGAGATCGGTATCGCATGCATATGAGTCTATAATGTTGTTGAGAGTCACATTGCATTTTGATTGTGTATTGTTGTGAAGTGGGTGAAACTTGAATACATGTTTTGTGTTGTATAGTGGATTACGTTTGAACTGTATTGTATTTAATATAATCTGATTGTTTATGCCTCATTAATTATTAGAATGTATTTCTCATCCCTTTTGTTTGAATGTTGCCTTTACATGGGCATCGTGCAGATACTCAGGAGTATAATTGATGAAGTAGAATATAGTTTTTGGAGTTACTTATTTAGTTTATCACTTTGACTAGTGGTGCCTTACTCTGATCATGTAACATTTGGTTGGGGATAAATGCTTGAAGTGATTCTCATATCGTTTATGTTTGAATTCAAGACTATTTATGTTGTTTATATTTCTAAATTGTTTCGAGTTGACTGTTATGAACTCACTTTTGTTTATGTTACGAAGTTAACATTTATGAGACTAAATGTTGTGAGTTGCAAAATTGTTAATTGTTTTATTAATGATTCCGCTGCGAGAACAACTTAAAAATCAGATGAGTTGGATGTCGTGTAAACATCCCTAGTATAGATCAGTGGAGTGGATATCGTGTAAACATCTCAGGTACAAATGGGCATATTAAACTATTATGTTGTAACCCGTGTTACGGAGCAGGTTATATGTTTGTTGTGAGTGATACTCCGAGGTTGTATTATGTTTAATCAAATTCCATGATAATTTTATGTGTTGGGATTAGGGTGTTACACATACCTCCTCTACAACCTTCCATTATGATGAAGCATGCGGTGACCTGTTGATAAGACAACACGCCATGTTAAGTGCCTCTGCCAAGAAACCTTTTTATAGTCCAACATTTAACAAGAGTCATCTTGCCCTTTCTATTAGAGGCATATTCAGTCTCTATACCGCGCCATTTTAATGAGATGTATTACAAACTGAGAAATTCCTTTGAATATCATGTTCTTCACATAACCTATTAAAATTTGATTCAGTGTACTTTGTCCCATTATTTGACCGTAAATACATGATTTTTTTGTTTATTTGATTCTCTACCTCTACCTTCCACAACTTGAATATGGTAAAGACTCCAAATTTCTGCTTCAAAAAATACACACGAACCTTGTGAGAAAACTATTAAAGTCACAAAATATTTTGAGCCAATCGTAGAAACTTCTTTGGTAGGTCCCTTTGTTTATTGTGAAAATTGGTAAACAACCGTTGGTGTTCTAAAAATGGTTTATTTGCAGGATCAACCAGTGAATTCTAAGGACATAGCTATTGTTTAATTTCTTTCTAAAAATTCTAAGAACACTTCAACAACATTCATATTTGTAAAAAGGTTGTTTTAAAGTTTTAGAAAAGATAAGCTTTACAGAAATT